GTGGTGCTGCCCTGGCTGCTGGTGCTGCTGGGGGCTGAGTGGCTCATGGCATGCTCCTACCTGGCAGGTGTCAATGAGGCCCTCTGGGTAACCAGCACACAAATTGTGAGTGTGGATTTTCCCTGCATACCAGAAGGTGCTGTTGCAGAGCTGCAGATCAATGAGCTGGACCTTGGCCTCCTGCAGGTGATCACTTGGGTTTTTATCTGTGAGTACAGAAAGAAACAAGCACCCAGCAGCTCCTTCCTGGTTTTCCCCCCTTGTCTGGGGGAAATCCTCTTCCCTAGGGTTTCTCTTTCCCTCTGCAGAGGCACTGAGGTGCTGTGTCTCTGCTACCTGTCTCTGGGGATCAGGCCACGCCCATCTCTGCAGAGGTGTACATCCTGCAGCCTGGCTTTGGCCTCTGCTGTGGGGAAGCCCAAACCCTCTCCCCATTGTGCTGAACTGGCTCTGGAGTCTCTCTTGGGAACTCACCTTTTGCAGTGATGGCACCCCAGCCAGCAATCCAGCAGTTGTTATGCTCCTGTGACACTGACATTCCTAGGATAGGGTCGGCCACACAGGCCAGTTGGATGTAGGGGCTGCAGTGGACAGGCTCGGTCAGTTCCAGCAAGGCAATGTCACTGCTCATGTCACGTCTCTTATAGTTTTCGTGACGCACTAACTTCTTAATTAGGCGCACTTGTACCCCAGGGCCTGGCTTAGTCAACTGGGTGGCCCCAATCACCACATATACCATGGTGGTATTCCTGGAAAGGAGATGGAGAGAGGCCTGAGAGCAAGCAGACCCATGTGCCACAGCAGCCCAGCAGTTGCCAGAACTCTGCTTGGCAAGGCAGAGAGGGAGCCATGCTCTGGCAGGTGTGAGCGCCCTTGCACGCCTTAGGATGCGGGAATGATAAGCTGGAAGGTGCTAGGAAGCCTTGGCACAAGCCCAGGCTTCTCCTGAGCAGTGTGGCAGCTGGGCTGCCTGAGAGGGAAGGGGATGGGAATAGCAGGTGGTCCTGCTGATACCTTCTGGTGTCGTGGGGATGCTGCCATTCCCTACTCACAAAATTAGGTCGAAGCAGTGCGCTGCTGTGAGGACCCACTCTGCCCTGATGAGAGAACCTCCACAGAAATGCTTTGTGCCTGGTATCCTGGCATGCTGGATGCTGACGATCCATGGCCATGCCCCAGGCTTGGCATCTGCACCACCCACAATGCGCATCATGCTGTAGTCATGACTCTTGTATCCAGAGTCAGACACCATGGGTCGGAGGCCGCAAGTCCATCTGCAAGCACAAAGTGATGTCCTTGTTGCTTCATGGCCTGCTGTGGCTCAGG